TGTTCCAGAAGCTTTCACTCTAATGCTGCATTTGTAAATAAAGCAGCTTAGTGGCCATTTCAGCCCCTCTGAGACCCGAAGCCTGGAAATTTAAAGAGGGTCCCTGGACTCCAGTTAACTACCAGTTTGCATGCAAGGACAGCTTTTGAGGATGTAAATCTGTTGCCTCATTCAGAAGAGCAAGTGGCTGAGCTCAGGTGGATGGGAACACATGGCAGTTTCTATTCTTCATTTCTTTATCAAAGGCTTGCATCAAAATGAAATTATTGCAGTCAGGATATGGCTTGAGGAACCTTCCATCTAATCTGCCCGCGAATTGTCAAGCTACTGTGTGCAGGGTGGTGTCATAACATGGAACAATGACTAAATGTCACCTGCCAGAAAGGAAGGGGGGGACAACGCAATGACATGCTTTGTCACAGTAATAGCTCTGTATTCACTGCTGAAGGCTGAGCTGTCTCAGAGGAGTGGGTCTTTCCAGCTGGCTAAGGGCTGCTGAAGTAACAAGCATTAATAGCTCCTGAAGGCAGATGATGTGGATCAGAAATCACCTCCCTACACATCCTCACAGGTACTCTCACCTTCTTAAAGTGTGAAGGGCTGTTCTCCACTGTACCATCCTGCTGGGCATCTGGCTGCATTGTGCTGGCCATGTCCCTATGCAGTAGCATTGTTGGGGTGGACAAGAGTAGACAAGTGCTTTAGAGCTGGCGGGCACACACAGCTGAGTAATGTGGAACAGTCTACTTGTGGGAATTAAGTGCTTTGTCTTGGGTGACACCAAATGTGATTTGCAAGGAATGAAGTTTTAACTCTTGGGTTGTTCACATTGCAGAAATACATTTCAAATCTGTTTGATTTTTTGGCTAGAATTACAGTTGTTGCTGCTTCTGTGGTGACAAGCACAATCACTCTTGACACTGCTTTGAGACACTTAGGAAATGGGGAACAGAGTTAGTGTTCAAGGTGATGGCAAGCAACTCTGTTCCTCAGGCTAGCACTGTGATGCAGACATGGCTAGATTACACTGTTGTTACCCCTCTGATGGACTCCCTAACAGAGCTCTGTCAAATTATTTATCTTGGAGACAAAAAAGGAGCCTGACTGTAGGAGGCCTGGCTTTGTCAGTGTTCTGGGAAGTGCTCTTGGTCTGTGCGTTTTTTACTGGTCTTTGGAGGGCAAGCAGATGATATGCTTCTCAAAATTCTCACTTGATTAAGGATCTTCACTGTAGATGAGCTTATTATATGCTAGCAGAAACAGCTGGGAGAACTAGGAGCTCATGTCAGGACCTAATGATAATCTGAGTGGAGATGTGTGCTGCTCTCAGAGACTGGACCCAGCATTAAGACTGGTGTATCAGTGGAAGTCTAGTTGCAAGTCAAGACAAAGGAGGCCATGGCCACAAGAGGAGACAACAGGTATTTTGAAGAACAGCAGAGTACGCTGGACACTACTGCAAGAGAGCACAGATGGGAAGCATAAGGTGGATATGAGAAAGAAATGAATCATGCTAGGCTGGACCTTGGAGTCCGTTGGATAGCTGCTCGTTGTCTCAGGGGGTGCAGGCTCAAGCTTCAATTAGTGAATGAAAGGAAACAGTGCACAATTCATCCTGTCTTTGCCCATCCATGCAGTGCACTGTCTCAGCCTGTACCTACAGGTAACAATGTGGAAATATTTCCTAATAATCGTTCACGCTCAGTTTCTAGCATTACTCCAGAGAGGCTAATGGAGGAGGTGGTATATCCAGGATGATCATCTCTCTTTGCTCAGTAGCATTCGGAGAGCTTTTGGTAGTACTTAGTTCAAAACAGAATGTAAATTTGTTTAAGTTTTTATGAAGATAGTATTAAGTGAGAGAGAACAAGGAAGCTTGCAAACATGGCCTTTAGATTCAAAGCTGCAAAGGCTGTCAATACCAAGAATGATGTAGTCCAATAGTTGGAGGTTCATAAAAGGTTTCCCTGAAGCATTGAACCTTTCACAGGGCAAGAATTACAGGTCTTCTGTACCTGTGTGAGGCTAAGGAGATACCCTCTGCTTTGGAGTGGAATTGAATACCACATCTGTATAACAGAACTTTCTTGCGAGGGCTGCTAATTTCGTCAGATGTTTATTTACAGCATGATTAGGTGATATAAGGAGATAATGCTGAATAATCAAGTGGACAGGAAGCTGCTACGCAGGTAACGCAAAGGCAGGTGTTTCAGTACTTTCAGTACCATTGAGGAAGCAGTAGTTTTACCATGATAAATTTAATGAATCCTTGTTTTTTGGGTTTGATTTCTTCCTCTAGCTGGTTTTTTTATTCCGTGTTGCATAAGGGAGTCTTGTTAATCTGTAAATAAAATAAGTATGTAATAGAAGTGAAAAATGAGTTTACAGAAAGCACATTTTAATGCAGGCCTAAACTATTTCCCTTAATGTCTATTTTTAGCTGGATGGGTGCACTCCTTTTCTTTCGTAACCCAAAGGCACCTCTCTCATTCTTTTTTATGCAAATTAGGCCTCCCACACCATTAAATCATTTTTTATTTACTATTGCGCCTGCAAATAAGTGGACTGAACTTTAATATGCTACATTACCATACCATAAAACTTGTAGATCTTATTTAGATTGTGTTGCTGCACTTCCTCTAAATAATTGTTATTACTGAAGAAGATTTACAGGCACCATTAAAAGAAAGAGTAAGTACTCTCCATTTTGTATGCATTGAAACACTGGCTGTGCATGTTTTCACAGCTAAACCCCCTTGCTCCCAATTCTTTTCTGAAGTGAAACAAGTCACATTATGCTGTTAGTTGCTAATAGAGGTTTTAATATGGCAGTATCCAGAACTTCTGCTGACTTCAAACAGTGCCAGGATTTCACCCCTTCTTTTGTGCTGCTAAGTTTGTGCTAACTTTGCAAATGAAGTGTTTATCTTCAGGCTGTGAATTGTCACTTTGCACATCCCCATCCTCATTATTGCCACATGCACCACACTCAGCTGCTATGCAGCACCTGGCAGGAAAATGCTCTGTTCCTTGGGAAGTGCAAGTAAAATATTGTCCTCCCACAAACTTTTGAATAAGGGTGCGCACATACTCAGCCTGACAAGGTACATGGCCTTGCTTTCTCTTATTATAGATAGCTGCAGCCTCTTAGAGCCAAGGGAAGGGATGCATGCTGAGATTTTATAATAATTAACCAGAGAGAAATGTATATGAGTCACTCTTAAAGAGTATAGCTCTTACCAAGAAACTAATGTTTTGCTCATGTTGACAGCCTTGGAGAATGACATTTATCTGTAGCACAACCTAGGGATGGCTAAGAAATATTCAAGCACTTTCTCGATGATGTCTCACCCTTCTTCTAGAAGGACTACTTCAGAAGTGGAAGGGTGTTCAGCCATGCTATCATTTCAGTACACAATCATTTACAGTGTGCCAGTAGAAGTGCTATTTGTGGTCCCAGTCTCATGTCACATAGGCCAAGGAGGAGCTTTTTCATGGTCAGGCAGGACTGCCTTTGAGATGCTCTTCTGCTCACTTTTATGCAGCAAGCTTCATGTCAGTATGCCAAGTCCCCCCAGTCATCTGGGTCTCCCAGTATTTTGAAACTGGCAGAGTTTCAGAGCTATTTAGGAGGAATTTTTAGGCTAATTTCCCCCCTCACAGAGACTTCCTGAGAATATCCACTACCTTTAAAAGTCAGGGCATTTAAGGTTGTGTCTAATTTCAGAAAGATTTATCTAAATCTGGAGCCTGAATTAGGCATTTCAGATTGGACTCTTGAACTGTCAATACTTAACTGCATTACCACATCAGTTTAAAAAAAAAAAAAAAAAAAATAGAGACTTTGAGGTTTTGCAGTGATAACATGGAGAACACAAGCAGGTTATGGACCAAAGAGCAATGGCTGCTGTATGAAGAAAGAGAATTATTTTATACACCTACATGCATACATCTCTCTCTCTAAAAAGACAGTTTCACTTTTCAGTTACGTGTGGCAGTGAAAATTGAGTATCGCTCTTGAAGCATTTTGCAATGATTTAATGCATAATAAATCTAAAATTAGAATAGACTATTTCACTTGGAAGGAACCTACAATGATCATCTAGTCCAACACAACAATCATCTAGTCCAATGATGATCTAGTCCAAATCCTAAGAAATGTTCAAGATTAACCATGAGATATGTTACAAAATTTGTTTAACATGAGAAATTATTTGATTAACAAATTGACAGTCAAGCACATTAGTATGCTCTTACATTTTTTTTTCCTAAGAAAACCACTAAAATAGCTGCTGATAGCTGAAGAAAGTAAACAACTGAGCATCTCTTCCAAGAGCTCTCTTTTGTTTTTCTGTAGACTATGTATAAGGAAGTAAATGTGTGAATACACAATATAAATAAGTCTCTGATAAAAGCCTTTTGGCTTTAATAGTCTCTGAAAAGTTAAGAGACAGCCATCTTATAAACTAGACAAATAAGCAGAGAGAAACATTTTCAATCATCTTTTAAAATGTGGAAGTACTCTTTTAAGTAAGTTACCTGATGTCCAGCTCAGTCAGATGTATCTTATTACTCTGACATGTTTAAAGTTCTCAGTACACAGTGACGGCCTATTCTGTTCTTTTTTTCCTCAGATTATTTGGAAATACATATGATGGCTCCAAGCGGCTACCAGTCCTGCTTCCTTAGGGCTCCAGTCAGCACTGTTTACATTCCTGATTGAGGAATCCTTAAGGCCGTCCTTTGTCAGGACAACACCTAAAGATGTCCGTGAACAACTGCATAGAGCCCTTAGCATTGAAAAAAGATCCATTCAGTGAATCCACTTGTGATAATAAGCAGTAACCATAGTAGTAAGCAATGTGCAGGATCATAGCCTCAAGTTTTAATATACTTAGGGGAGATGATATGTAATTAATGTGAAGAAAGGTCTCTGACTTATTTCAACTAATGGTAGGGTGTTTTTTGGTTTTTGTTTTTTTTGTTGGTTTTTTTTTTAGCTGAACTCTTCATGGAACAACAGCATCTCAAAGAAGCAAGCTTTTGTATCCAGGAGGCAGCTAGTCTTTTCCCCACATCTCATGCTGTACTGTACATGCGTGGGAAGCTTGCAGAGATGAAAGGCAATTTGGAGGAGGCTAGGCAATTGTATGATGAAGCACTCACAGTGAATCCAGCTGGAGTGGAAATTATGCACAGCCTGGTGAGTTTGCAGGGGCTCAGCTCCATTATAGTATTTATGTTCCTGATTAACTGTAATAAGAGGGGAGAGGGCTCATGCTTGCTCTGGATGCCATTGTCTTCCTAATCCTGAGAGCAATTGACTGTTCCAAGAATAAATTGGGTAGCATAAACCTCTATCTGAAGACCAGATTAAATGTTTTTAACTAATTAGGACTTGTGTCAAAGTTAAATATTTTAATTGAAAAAGGCTGATAATTTTGGAAGTCAATTCACTGCTTTGTTGCTTTTCCTACTAACTGTTATGCATTTCAAATAAGCAGTACTCTGATGTTTCAAAAATTTGAACTAAGTAACTATAGAGTATAGATATATGGGGGGGGTTGTAAACGTTGGGCTGGAATCTTATGTCTACTCAAATCACGATAAAGTATGAGTTTACATAAAATTAATGTTGTTGTCTTAAACTGTGGCTTAGCTCGAACCTTGTGTAGGGGCAGTGACTCTGCATTTATGGGATTTTTGGTAACATTCCTATCCAGCAAGTATTTTTGCTGTTGCAGCATCCCCAAAACAAACTTATTTGCAGACACAGGGCCTAGAGCTTAATAATAATAATAATAATACAGGGAGCTTTGTGGAAGACCAAAACCCACTTCTCTTATGAAATCAGAACAGTTAATCGTATTTCATCATGACATATCTTGTTAACTTTGCCCTTACTAGGTCTCTCTGGGATTTTAGAAGTCTTTCTTGACTAATTTAATTTTTACAGGAATTCTATATCCATGTGACCGCTTTGTGTCTTTGCTAGCAGATTTGTATTTCCTGGTGTAAATTTGGTCCTGATGAGGTTTGCAGGCAACTCCAAAACTGAAGGGGTATCAGTGCACAAGAGAAGAAACATAAAGTGAAGCTGTAACTGAGAAAAAATAGTAGAACCTACAGGCAAGGGGTGAGATACTTGGTAATAATGAATGTTCAGTGCAAAACCAGCAAATGAAGAGCTGGTGCATATGTCAGGAGAAGGTTACAAAACAGCTATGCACATATCAGGCTTATATGGGGCAATAATATTACTTTGTTGCTGTGATCCAACCTCTACAAAATCAGTTGGTAAAAACCTGGCAAAATAGAATGACGTTGTTTTCTCAGTGTCATGATTTCAGACAAGTCACTGGTATCAAAGCAGCCATCAAGTTAGATGCCAACATGATACTAACAGCTTTCATTTTTGTCCTATTTTATGGGCAGAACCACATACTGTGTCTTCCCATTTCAGTTGCTTGCAATTATCTGAAACTATAGTCATTTGGAATAAAAATTTCTGAGACGCATATCTGCTCTGGCCCAGTTTACTTTGGAAAATGTCACCCAACATGGTCTGAAAATGAGGCTAAAGAAGAGACTTTAAAGGCTTCTGTGACATCTTCTTTACTGTGCTTTAGTGTCTTCAGGTTTTGTCAGGAATGGGTAGTCTTTGTAACATATGAACATGCTTTTTGCCATCCCTAAGAAAATCCTTCCTAGGTTATCCAAGTTATAACCTTTAAAAAACACATTTTATATATGCTTAGTAAATGGGTATTTCTGAAACCTCTGAGTAGCCTATGAATGCTCATTCCCCTCGAACCCCAGTAAGCTCTGTAATCTCTTAGTCAAGAGATGGAAGTAAAATTTAGGAGAGGTGAAAGAGACAGTGAGATGGGGAATTTGGGGGCAGAGACTCCATCCATAAGCAAGCAGGGAAGAGGAAAGGTAAACTCAATAACAAAGTGAGAGAAATAAGGGCAGATAGAAAATAAGATAAGATAGGTAACACTGGATAAGACTGGATAGGTAAGAAGAATGAGACTGGGTTAAGGAACCAGGCGGAGACACTTGGGTTGAGGGGTGGGCATGTTGGAAAGGATGAATCAAAGGGGTTGGTCTTATGAGAGAGATAAAGCAGCGTGAATCTGTAAAAGTACTTCCACTCCATAGCCTTCAGTCTCCTTAAAATTCTGTATCTTCCCATCCTGGTGCCAGCAGGTATCAGTGAAAATCACTTGCTTAAGCACATGCCTCATCTCCTTTAGCTTGGCTATGCTGGCAGCCTGTGGCTTACACCTGTTAGCTAAGATAGCAAAGGTCTGGTCTATCCCTGCTGATATAAATCATGGCAGTAGTTACAGGATGCCACATAATGGCATTCCTTTGTATGCTTTTCCAAAAGCTAGGAAATTGCACATAACAAGTTAGAAGCATCTCATAAGCACTACAGAAAAGCCTGTAAAGAAATTAATCATTCTGCCTTCAGAACAGGGCTGTAATAATGTGCAGTAAACAAGGCTTCTAGGGCTATGCATCAAATAAAAAGGGCAAAAATAAAATATTGAACAGCTGCTAGCTAAGTGATTTTGTCCTGTGTACTGAATGAGACAGTGTCCCCGTGGAGAACTTAAGACTGGGTTTATGCAACTGAGGATATAATGTAACAAGTGGTAAATTCTGCATCTCCTTGAGGTTATCAGAAGAAGACTGGATGCCTTTCTGAAATGTATGTATTAGCCAAGCTGTACCATTATTAAAAATACAAGGTCTTGAGCACAGTATGTTCAGTCCCCTACCGGAGGGAAATCTATGTCTTGGATTATGCAAGAGGCCAAACTAGATTATCAGCTAGTTCCAAGTGGCTTGAAACTATGCAAGACACATGCAGGCAGCTGAAATTAAATTCACACATGCTGTTTCAGTGCTAGTCTCCCCAAACATTTGAGTACATAGTTTTTTCACTGTAGTAATACTGTTGTGGATGTGTAATAATTTAAGGAAAGAGGGTCTGGTTATGAGAATTACTGTTTGACTTAGTGCAATTGCCATCCAACTGACCTAGTCCACTGTAAGGGAAAACTCTACTGTAGACAGTGCCGATTCTCCCTGGTGTATCAGCATCAATTATCACAGTAGTCATGTCTCTTCCCCTGGGCTCTCAGAACTGGGTTGTCAGAGCTATGTTTGGAAAATTCTAACCTGAAGAGTGTTGCTAGCTTTAAATGAAGGGCACAGATCTAGCAATAAATGAGTCCATCGGGTGTCAATAACTTCACTTTTACACAGGATAGAGTCACCACCATAATAAATGCAAGCTCTTTCTCTGCGTAGCTGAAAATGGCTGTGTTTTACTGGGACTGTAGGGTGTTTACAATAGCTGTCAAATCAGTGTGCTTTACATATAAAGCACATTGCTGCATGGAAGAGCAGCACCGTACAGCAGGACTGCAGTGCTGAGTGCATCTGTTGAGGTGGGTAGCACGCTGTGCTGCATCACAGGGGCTATTGGCACTTGGTGTCTGATACTGTGGATAGGAAACCACAGGCACATTGAAAATACCACATAGTTTTGTGCTGCTTCTTGCTAGCACTTGCAGTTTGTAAGTGATGCCACAGGATCCTTAAGCCTATATTAAGAATCCACCAATGGCCTTTACAAAGTAAATATTACTGGCTAATACCTAATCTAAGGAAGCACATTTGTTGAGGAGTTCTGTTTCATTTGGAAAAAACACATAGAATCAATATTTGGGGCTATTGGGATCATACTTCTGTACCAAAGTACTCCTGGTGAGGTGTGGAGCTACTCCTTTGGTTGAACAACTGTTCGCTGTCAGAAACAATTAGCTTGGCTTGGCCTGTAGAAACTGTACATACCGTAAGACCACAGCTCTCTTTAGGAAATAGGATTTGCTAGGGGGGGGTTTCCACACTTCTTCTGGTTCTGTCTCTCACGTTTCTGTCTTCCTGCCCTTTACTAGAACAGCCCTGTTCTTTTCTTCTTCCCTTTCACAGGCTCTTTCTGGGGCTCGCTTGCAAAGATCATAGAGCACTTCTCCCTCCCAGGGGGGCTGATGGAGTTTGCACTGAGTACATATCTTCACTGGTCCAGAAACAAGAGCTTAGCCTACATCACCTTGTCTTAACACTGTGACTAGTCAGCCATTACAGATGCTAATCTCTGACAGCACATTTCTAAACCAAATAACTATGGCTTACTTCTTTCATTATGTACCAAATCTGGTTATATAACATCATGATACACACAGCTTTGGGACGGTGATAACAAAACTGACTCGTGCCCAACCAAGTCAGAAAATATAACATAAGCCAGGGCAGATGACACCTCCTTGTAAAGCGATAATACAAATCCACCTACCTGTATGTCACTAGAGAAAGACATTGAAATTTGCTAGTTCCCAGCCACAGTGCATTCAGTACCATTCTCCCTTTTGATTCAGAGGAGGAGAAAATCAATGCCAGCATGTTGGATTTGAGTCCTAAAGCTCCGTATGTACTATCACAAGATAAACTAAAAACATACTGAGATACTCAGAAGACTCCTGCCCAGCATGCATCTCATAGCACTTTGTTGAGTTAGAGCAATTCTCAACATGTTTTAGTTCAGGGAAGAAGAGAATCATGTATTTAAAAAGGAAAGAAATGGGCACCCTTATCCCCGTCACTGTGCCAGATTTAATGAAAACAACAAAAAAAATACCATCAAAACAAAGAAAAAAAATTCGCTTGACTCATCCTTGAGTCTCATTGATTGCAGTGGAAGATTGTAATGACTCCTCACTTCTCTTGAAGGCTGGGGCAAGGATGATAAGGTTGTTATCAGAATGCCATGTAGCTGTCTGCACTGCATCATCCCTATGCTTGATAGCGAGACAAAGTGAAATACATATTGGGTTTTCTTTGATGAGTTTTTGTGAAGGTTAAAATGGAAAGCAGTCTTCATAATGTATTTCTGTGTTCTGCTGTGACCACATAAATGGGTGGAAAACATAACCTAGTGAAAATGTATTTGATTTGTTCCATAATCAAGTCAAATAGAATATAAAGGTAACACTGGTTGTTCTTATCATGAGAATTCTGCTTTTTCTTAGAGAGACTGTCATCTGCACCACAAAACATGAGATCGGCAGCCATGCAGAAGGGGCTTTACAGTCATATAGTACACACCAACTGAAGTTGGAAAAACAA